AGTGGAACAACATCAGGAGATGCACGCTCACGGTAGCCGATGACCAACAGTTGGTTCGTACACCATTTGTTCCTTCAGCAACCTGGGGCCCATGTGCACCATTGGTTTGGAATGTGGGTTTTCCAACTCCCCTAGGTGGACTCTCCATGTTCATCAACCCGTAGTTATAGCACCGAACATTCCTGTCAATTTCGTAAACAACACCCGTGATGCGAGAAGTCAATGAGTAGGACTTCTCTGACAGTGGTTGTATATACGTGACAATGTGAGAGCATTTGGAGAGGGAAAGCTGACTCTTCCCATCCTCGGTCGTAACAGGGTATTTGGGGGCAAGTTATTCTAAACCATGATGATTCTCGATTATGGATATGATTGTGTTAAACACTTCGAAATCATTTAAACAATTACTATGTTATTTTATTGAATACAGACTATCATTTGAGTTAGTTGCAATTTTCACTCTCGTTTATCATTTGTGTAGAACAAGGTGTAATTACATTAGAATATGTCTCAATGTTAAATAAAAATGAACAAGTTCATGATAAGATTACAGTTTCAACGGTATTTTTTAGCTTAGGTTTTGACTGAAAACTAGGATAAATATTGAACGGTTATTTTGTACTAGTATAAGACTACTTATTAGTAGTAGACTTAAGTTTCGTGCTGTTTGGCAAGATGTAACTTCAGTCTCAAGAGACTACCAATTCTTCCTAGTGAATTTGATCACATGTCATCCAGTCTCACAACTAGATTCTGTACTACTGAAAAATCAGAAATGCGAGTAATGTTTTGTAAGACAGTTGATTGATAACTGAGTGGTGACCAATGTCATGGATATCAAGTCCGTTTTATTTATTTAAACACATAAACTTTGGTACAAGGAGACACCAAATGGATATGCGCCACATAAATCATTCGATTTGTGTGAGGGCTGTGATACTGCCCGTGTGCCCAAACCGAAACAGGTGGTTTTCTTAGGGGGTCCACCCCGAGCCTTTGACCTTAAGGTCTGACCCACAAGGCAGTGGAGCATCGTGAGGAGACGCAGTCCCACAGTAGCCGGTGACCAACGATTGGTTCATACACCATTTGTTCCCTCAGGATACTGGAGCCCATGTGCACCATTGGTTTGGAATCCGGTTAAAGCGCCGGATATTCGCTTTCCGTCCTCTCAATTTCGTAAACTATACCCCCGCCACGAGAAGGGAGTGAGTAGGACTTCCCTGGCAGAGGCTGTATACGCGTGGCCATGTGAGAGCATTTCGAGTGGGAAGGCGGGCCCACCCCACTCTCGGTCATACCAAGGCATTTGGGGGCTATACCAGGGCATCTGGGGGCCTTCTTAGTGATGATCGAGCACTGTGGATCAAGCCTTAAATTGGAATAATGTTAATCTTAGTCTATCGTCTACCATCTTTATGACTATATTTCAATCTATGCTTCTAATACATAATGAATATTAGAGTGAACGACTGTTAACGATAATTGCTTGATCAGCCTGATGGAGAACTCATCAAAAACAATAGTTTACTCCAATACTCGTTCATGAATATTGTATAGGAATTTATGGATTCTAGTGTATAATGAACTAACATTGACAAAAATGTAGATATCAAAATCTCCCTAGACGTAAATCTTCTGTTGAAATGAGAATATGTAGCGGTTCACGTTAGGTTTTCAAGTATGTTATATGCTCAAGGAGCACGTGAACAAATCTAGAAGAGTAAGGCACAATAAGAAACTGTTAACCAATATCAAAGTCAGATACTTCAATACAAATGTCAAAACAGTTCTACAGTACTGAGCTTTATTTCTAATCTTGAATAAAGTCATATTATATTGAACAAGTCTTTGATTTTATGTTTACCCTAATATGGTACTCGTCTATAATGTCAAATCTTGTTTCAACTTGTAAATTGTTTATGAATGAGCAGTAGGAAGTTTAATTAACCATGAAAAAAATGTTGTAAAACATTCCTTCTTTTTAGTCAAAATACGAAACAAATGTAGAAAATACAAAGAATTCTTTTGATGAACTATATGAATACATGTATTGACTTGATGAAAGAAATGTATGCTTTGATATTGATAATTATCTTATACAGATATCTGTAATGGTTGTAATGATTGAGACTATGAATAGATTGATGTTAGGCTACCACTGAAAACCTAGAAATATTGGATGGTTGTTTCGTCCTATTGTAGGACTCCTCAGTAGTGCACATGCATTATTTTGGCTCATAAACTATTATTATATGGTTCACAGTTATTGAGTTCTGCTCGGTCTATTCATTACAGTCTTTCATATTCACAGCCACTTTTGACTAAATCTTGTACAAATGTTGTTTTCTATTTTATGGTACGATCTGGTTTGTTTGATTAGTACATAAACCCAGTATGTCTGAAATACATGATTCATATTGTACAGATTGAGGTTTGTGTTCTGGACACAATCAGGCAAGGCTAGTCAGGAAGAAACACTGATAAAGACTCTAGACTCTTCGTACTTGTTTTATGCGTCGTTGGTCCGGTCGATAAATCACTGTTCTCTAATTGGTGGTATCATTACGTTGTATATTAGTAGGGCACTAATCTATAAGTTATAACATGTCAGTGTACGATTTTCATTGAGGCTTTCATTTCAAGCACTAACTTTCACTTTGAGATAATAAGGAAGATTTTCAGCTCAGGTGGATGATTTGGGCGGAGTTTTGATCGTGAAACTTTCATCATCACTAGCATAAACTTTCATACTATTTAATTCTTCATCTAACAAGTAGTGATGCTCTATGGTAAACTATTCACAGAAGGTATACATAAATACATATATGGACCACAATGTAATTCTGGTTTAAGTTCAATGTTTGTCATCAATCAATTAAATTTACATTAGGAAGAGAATTGAGTTTGGAATTCTACTTCCTTGATGTTTCAATCTATAAAAATACAACTTGATATATTCAATATACTAAATTATCATAGATGAGATCCATTAAATAGAAAGGGTAACTTAATTCAATATTTATCATCAAATTATAGACATATATACTCTGAAGATATAAGAGATGAGAAACAATCGTCCAATTCATCCATGTTTTCAATGTTGATCTAACTTAGAATAATTCGTGAATTCAACTATTAAAATCATTACAATCTTCACAAATCTCTTATTCTGAGAATAAGATCATTAAATTCGTTTGGTATTGTTTTACTTGAATCTTTCCATTGATGTATAGGATTGCAATTGATCAGTCTGTTATTGTCATATGTGTATACTATGTGTATTGACTCGATATAACTTTAATTCACAAGCATTATGAGGACAGATAGATTTCGGCTAGCAGTAGAATCCAGGACATGCGTTTCGTCCTACTTCGGACTCATCAGCTGGATGTACTTTCATCCCATATTTGATGTTCACTCTAGGTCTCGAACCCAGTATAGTTCGCTTCAAACGCCATCGCCTTATCCACATATCTACTGAGTCCTGATATCCACTTGCTTGTGCAAGTCGGTGAAGTTTAAATCCATTAGACGTTGTTTGTTTGAATCTTCTCATTGATGTTTAGGACTGCAATTGATCAGTGTCTGATTGTTATATGTGCATACTGTGTATATAATCTTAATTCACAAGCATTATCAGCAGTGGAATTCAGAACACGTGTTTCGTCCTAGTTGAGACTCATCAGATGGATGTACCTACACCTCAGAGTTAATGTTCCCACTGGGGCTCAAACTTTATACCATTCATTTTAAAATATAATATCATTAGTATAGAAACACAAATTCCTGATGTATTTCAATGAGTAGAATACATCATGGGTCACCATTGAAATTTCTATTGATTACATCCAAACAGATAACAATATCCAGTCAACAATATCTTGTATAATATTAGATATAAATGAAGTGTGTGTGTGCATGGGGGGGTAAATATAAAAATATTATCATCATTATCATTATACAGTTTTATCAAATCATAATACGATGATAACTAGAAAGGAAGATAAGCAAACTGATTAAAACTAGAATAGAAACAAATGATTATACAACTATGTTCCATTTTCTTATGGAATATAATAAATAGTTTCTATCAATTCTATAACGATTAGTATATTTATCAGGTTGTATATATCAACTTGAAAACTGTTATTAATAATAATAATAATAATATTGCTGTTGTCCCCTCACCCTTCCGGTTAATGAAATAATATTACCATTTCTGCCTTCCTTTATATTTTCACTCTTTGTATATCCGTCTTTATTTTTCTCCTACCTATTAACTCATAATTTCAAAATTGTCTAGTAAGAATATATGTATATATATATATGTTTCCCCGGTTGCCATGGTAACCAGGGGAGAAAACTAACCTAGAAGAGAGAAAAATCACGAATGGAATAATAATAATAACAATAATAATAAACACCGTATTACCATCAGTATGATTATTATTATTATTGTCTTGAATATTTTGAGGCGCATATTCCCTCTTTCTCACTGTCGTAGACACACAAACACACATACATACATAGACGTATAGAGTTTTCCTCTCTAACTCTTCTATCTATTTTGACTGTGTTTTTTTTTTTTTTACAGTAAAACTAGATCAACTGTAATAATGTACTTTTTTTGTTAGAATATTCTGTCGTAAGACATAGTTTTATTTACCTCTATTTCATACATCTATATATATTCACGTGAAAGATTACTTATTCTTAGTGTCTATTTAATGAACGGATGTATCCATCTAATTGTCTCATAAGTAATAATGATTCTAAAAAGAAAATAATAATAATAATATTAATAAAGTGAATATACATATCTATATGTATATCTATCTGTATACCTCCTAGGTCTTGCATACATTAACGGGTCTCTTTTTCATTAAGATAGAATAAGATATCTATGTATACATGATTGGGTATAAGTGGGTACTCATATCATGACAATGACGAATGGTGAAAATACGAAAGAAAAAAGAATTAAAGATTATTAGTATATGAAAGTACAACTCATGTTTGCTCAGTTCATATTAACATGATTAAAACAAAATAGGAGAATAAATGAAATTTCATCATCATCATCATCATCATCATCATCATCATCATCATCATCATCATCATCATCATCATCATCATCATCATCATCATCATCATCATCATCATCATCATCATCATCATCATCATCATCATCATCATCGTCATCATCCAAAGCATCATCATCATCATCATCATCATCATCCAAAGCATCATCATCATCATCATCATCATCATCATCATCATCATCATCATCATCATCATCATCATCATCATCATCATCATCATCATCATCATCATCATCATCATCATCATCATCATCATCATCATCATCATCATCATCATCATCATCATCATCATCATCATCATCATCATCGTCATCATCCGAAGCATCATCATCATCATCATCGTCATCATCCGAAGCATCATCATCATCATCATCATCATCATCATCCGAAGCATCATCATCATCATCATCATCATCTTGAGTTCACTATTCTGATTGCTTCCTCATCCTTCTCTCTTTCTTTTTTAATCAGTCGACTAATTAGAGTTATTACCATAACTATAGTAAATATAAATTATCCGTTTTTCGTCTAAACACATTTCAAATTCGTTTAGTTTCATTCCATTGATAAAACAAAACAACAATACAATTTAGGATGTAACAATTTTATCACGTATATTACTTTGATCTTTTTATCGGATACAGTTGAAACTCAAACTGGCGGTATAACATTGACCGATTTTTAATTTCAATGAAATCCAATAACGTCTACAACTCCAAACTGTAAATTATCATATGCTAACTAGGGATCACCTTCGAGAGGTAATTCTCGAAGTTCTAGTGCGACATCATGGTCAGTGGAGTTCAACCGCGTAGAATGTGAGGCAGTTACGTCTCTAAAGCAATGGAAGATGATCGACCAATGTTGTGGATTTGGTGAAGCTAGACATCAAAACCTCTGGCCTAGACGCTAAGCGTTCGCGCAAGACTGAAGGTCCTGCGATCGAGCACCGCATGTGGGGTCGAGGATGTGCACTGATGTGAGGTTACACACTAGGACAAAAAGGCCGTACAGCGCTTCCTTCACAACCCCAAATTGAAAAACATTTTAAAAGCTTCCGATATATCATTGCATTCTCATGGCCTGAACCACCCATAGATCTTAGTTAAACCACCGGTGGAAACCTAGATCCTTTTGGTCAACCATTTCGTCCTGCTATAAGGCTCGTCAGGAGTGTGCATCAGTGACGCCACGTCTAGAAACCAAACGCAAGACGTTCGATCTCGTACGCTTACAAAGTAATCGGGTTAGGAACTAGGGCTGTGTACTATATTACTGACCCAGCTAATTCCAACGAAACTACATGAAAAGGCATAAGCCTCCAACCAGGAAAATCCAATCAGTTGTACCTTGGGTTTCTATTTCTATTTTTCGCAGAGTGCTGTTCATCCTTTTAACGTTTGTCTCTGGTTCTCGGCGCCGTGTATTGTTTTATATGTATCTTTTCCTTTGTTCTAGTTAGGGTCCGCTGTGTGATTCGCACAAGGAATGTCTTATCCACCTCCAGTGTATTTCCCTAATTCCCCCGTCAGGTGTAAGCTGGTTTGTTCTCTACCACAGTACGTTGTTGCTGATGGACATTGAGTATATTGAATAGACAATTGTTTATAAATACTTGTACCGTCTTGATGATAGTTGTAGTAGTTCTACAAGTTTCAGTCCCGTATGACAGAACTGCCTTGATGTAGGTATTGAAGGTTCCGACTTTGATGTTGGATGACAGTTGATTTGAGTTCCATACGTCTTTCAATTGTGGGAATGCTACTCTTGCTTTATCGATCAATGCCTTTACGCCTGCACCAGACTCTCCTTAGTTATGCTGATACGGGGACGTTTCCACCACCAATAGAGCTTTCCGGTCCAATCCCTCGTAAGAGTTCCGTATGACGGCGGTGATTTCTTCTGATATACCAGAATGTAGAAGAAGCTTCCATAGGATTCTCTTATCCCGACTGTCAAATGGTTCCTCATAGTAAGGGAAATCGAAGTAAAGTAACGAGTTACATTCAACTGATTGTTCGAACATGATCCCAAGTGTCGAAATTTCGTCAGTAAATGATTTGTCCCTACGAAGTACAGTTTGTTGATCTCGAAGTTGGGCGTCTAATGAATCCTTGATCCGGTTCAGCAATACTTTGTTGAAAACCTTTCCTAATACTGATAGCAATATGACGTGTCTGTGGTTCTCACACTTGCTGAGATATCCTTTCTTTGGAATATTGACGAGGTATTTCTGTTTTTAATCCGTCGGTACTTGTCCTTCCTCCCAAATCTTCCTGAATAGAATGTGTAGCATGTTTGCATTTACTTCCACATTTAACTTCAGTGGTCCAGCTGGTATGTTGTCTGGTCCTGCTGTCTTCCCAGTTTTTATTTCTCTAGTGACCCTGGTGATTTCTCCGACTGTTGATGTAGTCTGCGTGTGTTGCTTTGATGTCTTGTGGATTTAGTGGTGCTAGCCCATTTGAGAACTGTTCTTTATGCTCTACTCGCTTGTCCCACTGCTCTAAAACCTAAATGATTGGTTTGCTATATTTGTTTTTAACCGGTCCCTCTGGTTTGTTATATTTCCCTACTAGTTTCTTCGTTGTCTTATACTTCATTCTCTCGTCGTCTTTTCTGCTGTCATTGCTCAGTGTTCTGCATATTTCTGACTTTCAGTTCCAATGCTCTCCAATCATTGGTTGGTTCTGTATATTTGGCCTGTGCCTTGGCTTTCTCTTCTCTTGATCAGCTGTTATTAATTGCTGACTTCTTTTCCTTTCTTTTCCGAATCTTGTCCAGGGTTTTGATAGACCCATTCTTTATTATGGTGCTTCTTGCGACCCAGAACCTCCTTACATGAAGAATTTGATGCTACTGTAGTCTCTTTCCAATTGTCCTTTGCTACGTTTCATCCCGGTCACCCACTTTTGTGAGGACATTCCATGTTATTTTATTATTTGGTGGTCTGGTTGTTAGAAGGGATATCAGCCTTGTGACTTCCCTGAAATGTAGGTGTTCACCATGAGACGTCATAACTTTTCTGGATGGAGACCCTTCAATCAAACTGGTAATGGTAATTAGTTCATGAGTAAGTCTCATGTGGTCATTAGTGAGTAACTTCAAGAGACATTTTCTGGAGCTATGGTGAAAAGTCGTGATTAATGGAATTCAACCGTGTTGTGTGTGGAGGAAATACCCATCGAGAAAAATGGAAGATGGTGGATTGATTGAAGTTAGAATTGCACACCATCGGATCCTAGCTCAGCGGTCTAAAAATTGAGCGTTTGTGCACTAGAACAAAGTTCCTAAGTTCAAATGCTTTTTGCGGATCGTGGATGTGTACTGGTCAGGAGCCCATAGTATGACAAAGCTTTTGTACAGTACTACCACGCTTAAAATCGTTACTTAGTCAAGATCGATTCCTTATTTTTATGAAACTCTTTGTGTTTTCATCATTGCCAGCGGCTTTATTCAATATCATAAATTTAGTACAACATGGAATTCTCATTACATATGCATAATAGATACTTAAAATCCTGGGAGGAGTGGATATCAAATTTGTCTTAGTATGAAATCTCTCAACAGTGTAAACCCACGACCATAGCAGGGTTTGAACACATGACCTTCAGTCCTCTGAGATAATGTTTAAACTTCAGACCATCTAGTCAGTATCCAACAGTCTGCATTTTTAACTTGATAAAACTTACGATATCCCACAATCATCTCTCCAGATTTCCAATGAGATTTCATCCGTGGAGATCAAACATATAGGTAGCTATGAGGTAGCTACTCACTAGTGATGCACAATATCGCTAGTCCTAATTGAAGACGAAATAACTGTCTAGTAATTCCTTGTTTAAGGTGGTTGTCCAACCCATTCCGGCCAGTGATGTTAACTAAAAACTTTCATCCAATATAGAGTATGATGCTTACAATGGTGAAGCACTCAAGTTGCACTGATGTCATTACTTGATTAACAGGATTCAATCAGTACTAAGAACTATTATTACCCAGCAGTTAGTTAGTGTGATCGTCATTCATACTAGGAGGCGGATTCTCATACGGTTCAAACCCCGCTAGTGATATATTTCCCCTTAATACACCATTGATCAGTAAAAACGAATACAAAGCCGAAATCAAACAGAATTTCCTACTAATTACCTTAAACTACCTAAAATGAATTATTTACACTCCTTTTTCCAGATTGATTAGCTGTTTCATTCTATTATCAAATGTATCAATTCAACAGGGAATCTAATTCTTTGTTTAAACAAGTTTGTTATTCTTTCATTATATCTCTTATTGAATACCCTTCAGTTTATCACATTCTTTTTGGTTAGATTTTAACTTCCTTCTTACCCCATTCTCTAATCTCCAATATACACTCCATTACACTTACACATTTTAGTTAATCATTGTATAGGTATGATTCATTTTTCAAATGATTTGAAGTAAATAATCATAAACAAGACACGAGGACTCCTTTGTCAAACATTTTCAATTTAGAAATATGACACATAGTGAGATAGAGAGAGAGAGAGAGAGAGGAATACTAAAGAATCTGATCGACAAATCTCTTCTTATATGATGAGATTTTTGAGGTCAAAGAGGCAAAGAACACGAACAATTGAATGAACAAATGAATGTACAAAATGAAAATGTACAATAATGGCATAGAGAGAAAGGTTAACTTTACTGATATATATATATAGAAAAGAATATCAAGTGCTGTGTTCGTTTGTTTGTTTGTTTGCTTTGTGCATAATTCTGTATATATATCTATGTGTGTGACGGAGGTAAATATGTATTATTAACCATACAACTTAATCATCAGCCCAGTGATCTGATTCAACCATGTTTCACTCACTCTCTCTCTTTATTCTCTGACCTATATGAAGTTTGTACTTAAATGGTGATTGGTTTATTGATGCTTTGTTTAAAAATTTCAATGCCTTGTTATCATGTGAATTGTTCAAGTTATGAATATGAATACATCAAAACGATTAAAAACGTAGTAAGTAGTATGGGTTAGTTAAACGAAACTATCGTAGTAGTAGTAGTAGTGATAGTAGTAGTAGTAGTAGTAGTAGTAGTAGTAGTAGTAGTAGTAGTAGTAGTAGTAGTAGTGGCAGCACTAGTGTTAGTAGTAGTAGTAGTATTCCTAATGGCTATAATCAGTTTTTGTATGTATAAACCTTTTGTTATTATCAGTATAGGGTTGTAGATATTATTAAGTCTTTTTTTCATTGAGATCATGAACTGATTGATATTAGACAACTATTGAAAATCTGGAAGCACTGGATGGCCGTTTCGTCCTATTGTGGGACTCCTCAGCAGTGCGCACCTACGATCCCGCTCGAGGGATTCAAACCAAGGGCCATCGGTCTCGCGCGCGAACGCTTAACCCACTGCACCACTGAGTCGGCATCCAAAGT